GTTTGCTTCCGAATCCAACTCTTTTCAAATGGGATACGAAGAACTTTGATCTGCCGAGGCTGCTCGATGCATATGCCTACCAGCTTAAGAAGCTCTACGGCGGAAAGAAGAACCCCAGCGATGAGGCGAGGCAAATCTGGAGGCATATCAAGATTTTGCAGAAGGAAATCAAGCCAGCGCCGGCGAATCGACGCGCCGAACCGAGCCTGCCGCTCATGAGTGCCCTACATGCTGCACTCGACGACACTGATGATATCCTGACATTCAGGAGGAAAGAGACCCGCCCAACCATGCACAGGGAATACACGACCAAGTCCAAACTCATGCGATCCATCTCGGATAAGCCTGGAAACGTGCTGGGAGACCATACAGAATCGGCCTACGAGGTGGAACGACGTGAAATGGTCCGGTATGTGCTTCGCAGCCACATCCAGGAGGTTCTTTCTGGCTTCAACCCCCAACCTGGCAAACGCACTCCAGACGCCTCCGGCTATCCTGCGACGACGACCACAAAAACCAAATCACGCTTCGAGGCCATTGACGCGGCACCTCCGGAGCTCAAGCAAGCCAAGCTCATGGAAGTGTACTTCAAAACGGTGCGGCAAAAGGTCATAGACGAGTCGCAGAAGTCGACGGATCGGCGGGCGGAGGAGACCAAACCCAAGGCAGCGCCGGCGCCGGCAGGCTACGGTCTCAAGCGTGCGACCACGGCGCGTACCACACGAACAGTTGCAACAATCGAGTCTTCGGATGAAGAGTCGGAGGAGGAGATTGCGTTCGAACACCTGCCTGAGATCGAAGATGACAAGGAAGAGATTGACTTGCTGGATGAAGACACGTCCCATGAGACCACCCATGAGGACATCTGGTGCACGCTCGTGTTCCGGATGATTTGCTGGCTCATGCTTCACGACTTCCACAAGAACGACGTGCAACTGCCCAAAAGTGAGCTTTTTGGCAGTCGGTTGCCTGTGTACATTGCTTGATTGGCCATCGGCCGGGGCAGCGAGAGCAGTGATGAACATCTGCCTCGTGTCTCGTTCTAGCCACGAGCGCTTTGGATTTAGGGGAGTGTTTAGGAAGATGGTGATTTCCTTTACTATTAGCATGGCAGCGCGTTTGGGGACTCACAGGGACATGATGATCATTTGGCTATGAAAAAGTGCACGATAGATTTCAATTCAAGTCATGAATGATGATTGCTCACGAATGCTTTAACCGACCTCATGCATGCAGAGTGGTGTTCCGAATCAAGATCGTACTTAATTATCGGAAAATGCCAGAACCGCCTTCTGGACTTGTGGATACGACACATTCGATACCCTTTGTGTGCAGGTTGCTAGAATGCAATCGGAAGCCAGGCAAAGGTGGTGAGGCAACCCGGAGTGCCGGAGAGGTCTGGAAACGGAAGACGGATATGCGGGGCCCGTCACTGGCTCGTCACCGAGGCACTACAGCGGACCAGAGAGCAGGGGCAGTGCCTACGGCGGGTGGTTGCTGCGCTGTTTCATTCCCTGTCCTTCGGCGTGCCTCCGGTGCTGGCAAGCGGCGCGCGGAATGGCGCCGCTAGGCTGGATCGGGGGGGCGGGCAGCCCAGGCCAGGCAGGCGGCGGCAAACAGGGCAACAGAGCGAGGGACGGGCAGGGGGGTTAAGAATACCGGGGACACCGGGGGGGGGGGGGCACCGGGGGGATGGCAGCATAGGATGGCAGGCTTAGCGGGTGGTGACCGGACAAGACGAGAGGGAGCCCAAAGGGAACACAAGGCCGGCTTTCGTAAGGCAAGATGAGCGTGGCTGAAGGACTTGCTTACGAATGGGCAGGTACCTAGCTTTGATGATGAGAAAAGGGGGCTTTTTGCTGCAAACAGGCAGTCTTTTGGTAGTAATCGGTAGGAGAAGGGGGCAATATGCATCTGACGTTGGACCGGCGAAGCGTGTGCGATTCGTATCGGGGCCTGGGTGCTGACACGGGGTTGAGGTGCAGCGCCTTGACAATGATGGGCGTTCAATGTCACGCCATGGAACTCTTCTCCTACGATCACCAAGTCGCTGTTGGTACCCAGGTGGTTGCTGATCACTTTTTGGAGTTTTTGGAGGAGGTAAGGTTCGTGTTGGTTCGGTGGGGGACGACGAATGCAGGCAGCGGTGCCGATAGTTTGATGCATGCCGCAACTCTGAGGTTTTGGCGTGCAGGGAGCTATTTAATGTGACATCGTCTTATGGCGCGCATCTGTGCGAATTCAGGCTTTCTCTATGCCTCGCCTCGAAGGGTACGGCACAAGTGTAGATGCAGTGAGGTGAGGTAAGCAAGAATTACGGGAGGGACATCGTCATGGTCATTTTTGGTTCCTGGCGTTTGTGGCGTCCTATTTTTTGTTTTCCAGGGGCTGGCGGGTAATGATGTCTTGCGAGGCGGTCAAGATGACGAGGGGGAGAAGAGTTACAGAAGACAAGAGACGTCAGGTAAGGGAATCAGTCGAATAGGGGACGCCTGGCAGATGCATATTTGGACATGTACAGAGTACGATGCCGGGGTGAGTGAGGTAAGGGGAGGGAGGGGAGGGAATGCATTTCTTGAAACTCGGACAGGAGCAGACAAGACACGGGAGATACGCGGTTGTGGATTTTTAGGTAGACGCGATGCCCCTTGGCACGAGGCCAGAGACAAGAGACAGATCGATCGGGTGGGCGGCTGGTCGAGCGTGTCTGGCGGGAGGAGAATAATTCTGCTTAAAAGTGAGGATGGCGCCAGCCACAACGTGTCAAGCAAAGCGTGTCGAGGGTGCCTGGTGCATGTTGTCTACGCGAGAAGTGAGGTGAATGCGAGTGGTGAATGATGAATCGGGAGTAGGAGAGGAGGGGAGCGGGCCGAGGGGCTGGGTTGGTTTTGCCATGGTTTGTGGACTAGTATCGTGGACCATGGCCCATGGACCAAGGATCATGATGAAAGTGGTGACCAGCCACGCGGACGAGTTCGCAAGAACAAGGGGGACAATTGGGGTCGACCCCTGGGCTCAGACGAATCCATGTGGAATGGAGCTGACGATGGGTTCGCGTCTCTGGGTTGTCGAGAAAAAGTGAAGAAGGGGCCTTAGACAATAGGGGAGGGGCCCGGCGTCTGGAGAATTCCACAGTTCGCTGAATCCGTGACAAAGGACGTCAAAGGAGTCGGGGATTGGGGGGAAGAGAACAAGCCACGGCGACAGACGAGGACTAAAGAGAGGTGACTCGAGATGGGGATTGGACGGCGGAGGAGAAACGCGAAAGACACAGACTCAGCGACGACCCGGAGAGAGTGTGTGTGTGAAAGGGCAGACCCAGCCTAGCCTGGCCAGCGCAGAGAGGAGGCTTGGAGCCTTGGACAGGCCACCCGCGTTCCAGATCCAGGAGACCACGCGAGCAGCCTGTTGTTTCGAACAGAGGTATCGTCTGGTGATGATTTGGTGCAAGGAGTACATGTGAGGCTATCATGAGTCAGCCCCACTACCGAGTGTTCGGGGTAAATCAGCCAATGAGAAGACACTTCCAGAGTGAACCGTGAGGAAAGAAGGGGCAGAAGAGAAAGGGCGACAAACACCTGCTGCAACCTGGGCATGGAAGGGACGTCGAAGCACAGACGTAGAGGTTTTGGTGAACTAATAACACTGACCCAGTGATGGGACGGCCGGCCCTCAGCAACAACCTAAGGTAAGCAACAATCTCATTATTGTTGTCACTTATTCCGTTTATTTTTGTCCGGGCGGGCTGTCTTTGCAGCGTCAGTGGCCCAGTGATTCATTCAGTGATTCAGTGATTCAGTCCCTGGTGTCTCTGTTTAGTGCATCCAGCCCGAGCACCGTCACAACCATTCCGCATTTCTCTGCCATCGCATTGCTGCTGTCAAGTCTTGCCAGTGTCCACTGCACGCAAACCGCTGCTGACATCAAAGACGACGTCGGAAAAGGCAGAGTGGCCGCCTAAACGGGAAGCAGGCAGAGCACAGAAGACAGAGAGACAAACGGCTGCATTAACCATAAACACCTGTACGCACTCTAACTCGACATTCCTCCGTCCCCGGCATTTTACAATCTCCAACCTAGGTAGGTAAGGTAGGTGACGTGCCTAGGTAGATTAATATCGTCCAGTGTCTTTTGGCTTAACTGCCAGCTGGACCCCTTTTGTCTCTCTTGGAGGCTTGCTTGCCGTCTCACCGCGTTATTCACCGACGCCTCTCTCCTTCCATCCTTCCTCTCCGCCTTACTCGCCGTCGACTCAGTGAGGTGCATCCGTTCACCGTGCCCTGTTTTCCTGCCCTGCTTTCGACCTAGCACCCTCACCCATCACGGCACTTCATCTCTTCCATTATAAAACATACCTTTCGTTGCGGTGTACAGGCCGGTGCAGTGTAGTGCCATAGGTGCCATTCGTAGGTTGTCGCTGCACGCACTCTGGCCTCCCCCGTCTGGACCTGCCCCCGGGACCTGGACCTGGACCTGGACCAGGCCCATCAGCTGCCCTGCCCGGCTGCTTCTTGCCTCACGCTGTACCCCCTTCCGCCATTAGGAGGGTCAAAAAAAAAAAAAAAAAAAAAAAAAAAAAAGAGAAGAAAACTCCACTTCACCAGTACCGGGTACATCTCCACCATACAAAAGAAAGGTGGTTGGCACCGTACCGTCTACCTTCCCGTCCTCGTAGCCGCACCCGTGGTGCCGCTGCCTTGCACCGTAAGCCCGCGCCCGCCACTCTTCAAATCCAACCTGGAACCCTCACCAAACCACTTCCACCGCCGCACCGCCTGCTGCTGCCACATCCATCCACCATCCACCATCCACCACTTTGGCCCGCGGCTGCCCTGAACCCCATCCTCTTTTGTCCCTCTCCTACTCCTCCTCCTCTCCGCCGCCTCCCCTCTCGCGAACCTATTCGAGATCGCCTCCATTCTTCCTATCCCCGCCCTCCAAACTCTCCGGCACAACCCTTTCGTCCGCTCAGACGCCTTGCAACTCTCTCATCGCCCGACATGACGCCCTCGCCGGGTCCTCAGTCAAACGCCGTAGAGGTCCGCCGGCCTCGCTCCAGTCAGACCGTCTCCTTCTCCGTCGACGAGAAGAACAACCCGGCACACGGCCAGGACTCGACCAGCCTGCAGTACCAAGTCTCCGAGTGCATCGAGACCACCACAACCACCACTACCACCACCACAAAGCGCACTTTCCCTCCCGTCTATCTGCGCGACGTTCGCCCTCTCCACGAACTCGACTCCAAGGAGTACCCTCTCGCCTCGAAGCCTCTGCCTCCCGAACTCGCAAACTTCTCCTTCAGCGTCACCGGCTCCTCTACCGATGCCATGACTGATGACCTCTTCGTCCCCAAAAAGGTACCCGCCGCCCTCGACTCGAGTCCTCCTCTCCTTGTCCTCCACCGAATGCTGACATGATGTCTGTTTCTGTTTTGCAGCGCAAGACCCCTCTTGCAGCCCACAGGCAACCCGCAGGTCTGCTCAAAGAAGACGAGTCCAGCCAAGAGTCCCCGAGACGCACATCAAAGTCCCCCTCAGACCCCTTTCAGAGAAGGTCACGTCGCTCAACCGCCCGTGATCCCTCACCTTCATCTCAGAACGCGTCTCCCAGTCTCCCATCAAGGCCCTCCAGAAACCCCCGATCAGTCGGCCTTTCTTTCACCGAGGATGCCTCACAAAGACTCCGACGCCACCTCTCGAGAGGCAAGCAGACCGGCTGCCTGGCTACACCCGACACTTCTGAGCTAGCTGGCTCTTCTTCCGACCGCGTCCCTCGACCTCGACTCCAGATCGCACGCACAAGCCATACCCCCGAGTCCGGCCCCAGCAGTCAAGCAAACATGCACGACGCACCAAGCCCCATCGGCAGCGATGCCCTCACCGTCTTCAGCAGCAACGTAGCCACTCCCCCCATCACCGATGCTGACGCCGAGCCCTTTGTCGATGCCGACGAGTCTCTGCAACAGGCTATCCGTGCCGTTGGCCACCGGCCCTCGATCGATGCCGTCGCTGCCCAGGATGCGAGCCTCCCTAGTCCGAGACTTTCCCCCACACTCGCGGCCGCCCAAATGGGTTCCAGAGATTCCGAAGACGAGGACGAGGACTCGACCCAGAGCACCGCTCTAACCAGGAGAAATCACAGCTTCCGTAACCAGCAGTGGCTCCACGACTCCCAGGCCGGGGAAGAGGGCGGCTACTCCTCTGATCTGTCAATGGTAGCCGCTGAAGACAGCTCGTCCCAACTCGATAACCTTGATGCCCATACCGCTATGCTCGACGCACGCACCATGATGGAGAGGTTCGACGCGATGCCCAGCGAGATGAAGAGTTTCATAATGTACAACTTCCTTCGCCGCTGCCCTAGGAAGACATTGCGACTCGTAGCCGATGTCGTCACCCCGGCGCTGAAATGCGATTTCTTCAAGCAACTTCCCCTTGAGTTGAGCTTTCACGTGCTCTCCTTCCTCGACCATCGCGACCTCTGCCGAGCCGCCCAAGTGTCCAAGCACTGGCGGAACATCGTCGACACGAACGAGACTGGTTGGAAAGAGCTGTTCGATCGAGACGGATTCACGCTTCCTCCTGGCGAGCTTGACAAGGCTATTGTTCAGGGTTGGGGTTGGCAGGATCCTGTCGGCGTCATGGGTGCTGAAGTTGACCTCAGCCGGACCAGCCGGTTGAACTCGGCAGACAACGAGTTGACCAAGGCTGTTGTGAAGCCAGATCCCACGGTCAAGCTCCGCAGTTCCAAGCGCAAGCGAGGTATGAACATTCCGGGCGCAGATCGATCAAAGAGGAGGGTTAGTGGCCAAGAGTCTGCCCGCAACGAGGCACTCCAGTTGGAAGTCAAGCAGCACAAATCCGAGGGACCTCTGTCAGCAGCAAACGCCGCTGCCACTGCGGTGCCCAATCCTCAGCTGGGCATGCCAAGCTTGCAGAAGCTTCACCTGTTCAAGAGTCTCTACCGCCGCCACTACATGATCCGCCAAAGCTGGACCAGCGGCAAGGTAAAACCTGGCCACGTCGCTTTTGCCGCCCACCCTCGTCACGTCATCACCTGCTTGCAGTTTGACGAAGACAAGATCATCACTGGTAGCGACGATACGCTTATCCACGTCTACGATACCAAGACCGGGAAGTTGCGGAAGAAGCTCGAGGGCCACGAGGGTGGCGTTTGGGCCCTACAGTACGAGGGCAACATGCTTGTGTCTGGATCCACTGATCGGTCTGTACGTGTTTGGGATATTGAAAAGGGTCTTTGCACCCAAGTCTTCTACGGACATACCAGCACGGTGCGCTGTCTGCAGATCCTCATGCCTACCGAAACCGGCAAAACCCACGACGGCAAGGCTATCATGGCGCCTCAGAAGCCTCTGATCATCACCGGATCTCGTGACAGTCAGCTCCGCGTCTGGCGCTTGCCTGAGGTCGGCTCGCGCAGGTACATCCAGACCGGCCCCCCAGCTAATGACGCCGACTGCCCGTACTTCATTCGGACCCTGTCTGGTCACACCCACTCGGTTCGCGCGATTTCCGCCCACGGCGATACTCTTGTCAGTGGAAGCTATGACAGCACCGTTAGAGTCTGGCGCATCAGCACTGGCGAGTCGCTTCATGTACTCCACGGTCACTCTCAGAAGGTCTACAGTGTCGTGCTGGACCATGAGCGCAACCGCTGCATTTCCGGCTCGATGGACTCGCTGGTCAAGATTTGGGACTTGAACACCGGCGCCTGTCTTCACACTCTCGAGGGGCATAGTCTGCTTGTTGGTTTGCTGGACTTGCGCGATGAGAGACTGGTGTCAGCTGCTGCTGACAGCACATTGCGCATCTGGGATCCGGAGAACGGCAAGTGCAAGAACGTGTTGACGGCTCACACGGGCGCTATCACCTGCTTCCAACATGACGGCCGCAAAGTCATCTCCGGCAGCGAGAAGACGGTCAAGATGTGGGACATTCGCACCGGCGAGTGCGTGCAAGACCTGTTGACAGACCTTAGCGGAGTCTGGCAAGTCAAATTCGACGAGAGACGTTGTGTGGCTGCCGTTCAGCGTGACAGCCTTACATACGTCGAGGTAAGCTCACCCTCGCTACCCGACCCTTGAATGGCTTTACTAACTTGTTATGCTCAGATCCTCGACTTTGGTGCTGTCCGCGATGGCAAGCCGCCTGAAGAGCTCGGCGAGCGTAAGCTTCTTAACGAGCCTGAGGTGCGCGCGCTTCTGGCCGAAGATCTGTAACGAGCAACGAGGGAACGTCTACGAAAACGGCAAACAAGGAGTTCTTCACGAATCAGCATATCACGAACGAGAAAACCACAGCATTACTCAAGGACAAAACCATACGAAGGCATAATGACATTGGTAGGAAGGGGAATTGGATGGAAATCAACCATCATCGGGTTCGCGGCGTTTTCATCATATTGACGGTTTCGGATGGGAAACGAAAAAGAAAAGTGGGCGTTGCCTCATTTCGCGCAGAGCGCATATACCACGTCTTTGTATGGCTTAATGTAAATATTGGGCGAAAGGCAGTTGGGCGGCGGGATAGGCTCATGGTATGCATTTTATTCCTGGACAAAACAGGGCAGGGAGGTTGTTTGTCTCTTACACGGAGTAGTATGTAGAGACTGGTCATCGCACATACAGTTTTTCTTTCGCGTCGAGTTAACATGAATACCTGAGATACACGTTGCCATGTTTTGATGTGAGAACTCGATGCCTGCGATAAGCAACGACTGCACGGATGGGAATTGGGAAGGGAAAACGAGACCTCTAATAATTACACTACGGAGTTAACATGACTTGGCTACCTGCCATCTGAAGTATTAGGCGGCGGCGGCGAATTTGAGGTCAGTTTCGACCATCTCCTGCTCGCCCGGTTAAAGGGGCTTCCTAACCCCGTCGGTGTCCTCGACGGCTGTTCCTCCCGGCTGCGTTGCTTTACGTCACCCTCGAGCCCGAAGCCGTACGTCGAGCCGCCGGCATGCGGATCCGTCGGCACTAGGCCGTACCCCACCCTCGCCCCGGCGACGGGCCGGTGGTCGCTGCCGGGCACCGTGTTCCCCCAGGGCAGCTTCTCAAGGCCAGGGCCGCGGGTTGCTGCGACGATGCTGCTGAACCGGGTGTTGCGGACCAGGCCCTCTTCCCAGACCGCCGCCACGCCGAAGGCGACGCCGATGATGGCGAGGAAGATGGCGACGGAGTAGACGGCCCAGAGCTGGCCTTGGTGGTAGTCGTACCGGATGTCGGTTCGTTCGCGGGTGCAGCGGTACCTTTGGGTTTCGTCGGTGTTTGGCCCTGTCTGCGCAGACATGTTGCTGGCCCATACGACGGAGATGAATCGTGGGTTGCTGAAGAGTGAGAGGATGATGTCTTCGTACAATGACTGGACTTGCTCCATCAAATTGCTCACGCCAAGGTAGTTGTGCGGATCAATCAACTTGGTCTGGAGTGCCTTCGTATTCGCGTTGTAGAACGGCTGCTGGATCGTGCCGTTGACGAAGTAGCGGAAACGAGCACCGATTGCATGGTATGCCATTGCTTTACGGTAGCGCTGAACGTCGGTGGGATAGATGTAATTTGATTTGGGGGTAGCCGTTGCTTTATCGAGCGTCCCGTCTAAATCGTCTTCGCCGCGGACGTATGTTGTGTCGATGACTGGACGTAGGAACTTGCGGCTTCTAACGTTGGTAGTCTGGATTTGGTTTGTGAAATTGAAAGTGACTTCATACTCTGTCTCGTAGTGCTCACAACCAAAGGCCTTGGGGGTGTACGCTGTCTTCCAGTCAGCGTCGGTTGGGTTGACCGGTTGAGGAATAGCCGTATCGTCGGCGTGTGCATAGCCAAACCAAAGAATGGGTTCTGTGCGTAGCACACCAAGATGAGGTGGGATAGGTTTGTATTTCGGAATACCCCCGATATCTGTTTCGTTCAGCTGAGGGTTGAGATAGTCCCCTTCAGACGCGTGCGCGTAGTAGGTATGGTTTCCTGATGGGGCGAGCGAGCTGAAATTGAAATACTCCGTGGGCCATTTCGCACCGTTGAGGTCTTTTATGGTGTCGTCAACACCGTTTGCGAGTTCGGTACACTTGTAACCTGGACCGGTGAAGGTGATGTTGAAGGTGCAATTATGGCCGATGCCGCAGATCTCGTCGCTGGCCTCGAGACGTCCGATGGGTTTCCCTTGGAAAGCAGCCGAGGTGGCTACTTGGTCGAATTGGTCACTTGGAGCAGCCCAGTAATCGAAGAAGTCAGAGTCGGATTGATTGGTGCTGGTGGTGTTCCAAATCGACACCGAAAGCACAAATAGCCCGTTGCTTTTCCTCCCTTCGCGAAAGTCGACGTCCTCCTCCTGATTGAAATTGAGATTGCGGACGTTAGGGCACATGGCATCTTGCGTCATGGTCTTGGGCCGCACGCCGAGGGTATCAGATGTAAGAATTACCACGAGGGGTGTGCACCAGATGTAAAGAGCGAGGATCATCGCGACTCTAGCCTGTTTGAAGACTTCGAAATTGAAGATGGCGGACATATCTTCCGCTGCGGCAAAGAGGGAATCGACTGCTGCCAGGGTAAGCATCTTTCTTCGCACCGTCATCCACACGCGTTGTCGAAAGGCGAGGATCACAGCTGATGCGAGACTGGCTTTGCTGAGGAACGAGAGCGCTGCGCCGTAGCGGAGCATACGGAGCTGATTTGTGGCCTCGGAGCCATCGAGATGCTTGTAGAAGAAGTGGTGGCCCATGGCAAAAGCGATACCGGCGAACAGGAAGAAGTACATGTTCCATGACGGATGCCACCATTTCTGATAGACTGCAATGTGGCCCGGTGGATGATACGTGTATGACTCTGGCCGGCCCGGCGGGGGCTGGTACGGAGGTGAGGACAAGAGGGCCGAGTGCGAGTCGATGCGGACCTGCTTTTTCGGCGGAAAGCCGCCCGTGTATGGCGTGCTGAACTCAGACTGAGACGGCGTGTAGTTGGAGTACTCATACGAGTCTAGTTGTAGCGGCGACGGCCGCGGCCGCGGTTGGTGCTGGTCATGGTTGCCAAAGGTCTGTGTCGTCGGAAAATAGGCAGCGGCGCCGGCAGCGGCGCGTTCGGAGAAAGATGGTTGAGGGGATTTCGCGGTAGGTGTCGGCGGGCTGCGGCCGTATGGCCCGGGCGGGCTGCCGATCGGCGCCGGCGTAGTCGGGGTTTGGGGAATCGGTTTCCGGGGGAGCTGGCGGGAGGCATGCCATTCTGTGGATGGGGTCATTGGAATCTCAGGGGAGCCGTGGAGGCCAAGCCCCCGGTTATAGTCTCGTCCTTCCATCGTATTGAATTAGGTATTAGATTGTGGGCGAGGAGCGTTTTGTGTTGTTCAGCTTCCGCGGGACTGTCTATTGGGTGGTGGTATCAATTGGAACTTGACAGCGGGAGGATGCCGAGGGCATGTGAATACATTGACGATGTTGCGGGATAATAATACTGTATTTCATGAGAAAGAGAAGGAAAATGGCGCGCCTCTATCGAGACATTTCAAGATGTTATCGGTGCGGGTTGCGGATGTGAGGTGGGAACGGGAGTTAGCGGCAAGGAGCCTAGACTCCCAGATCTCAGCGAGAAGCAACTTAAACAAGCAATGATCAGAAGAGGAGGAAGAAGGTGGGAAGGAGGGAGGAAAGGGAACTAATAAGACACAGCACTCGCGCGCTCCCTCCCGCCAACAAGGCTGGCACAGCTGGGTGGGAAACACCACCAACATCACTTGCCGGAGGGGGGTGTACATGGATGGCTACTTGTCTTGCGCTCTTCTCCGGCGTCCTACACTTTCGACGTGAGTAGATAGAGTGGAGGGAGAGCCTTGAGTTGTGCCGGTACGAAGAAAGTCTACAACGCCTGGGGGCCGCATCCTCGGGGCTGCAACTGGCATCTGCAGCAAAATTGGCTCAGCTGGATGTGATGGCGCAGGTCTGGCGTAGCCCGTCACCAACGCGGCGGGTTGGTTGGGGTTCTGCAGCCCTCGTGTGATTGGCGATAATGTGCGAGTGGCGACCAGGATGCGCCTTGAGAACTTGGTCTGCCTTTTGCCCATGGGCGAGACCGGTCTTGGGGGCCTATTCTGCCCGGGGACATTTGTTGCTGCCTTCGTCGCGGTCGCATTCTCGATGGCTTTCATCGTTGACTGTGGACACGCTAGATTACGACAGCGATGCCGGACTGCTCCCATTACAGTATGAAGGAAGGGCTGATGCTCGGTCTTCGCCTCGTGGAGCCAACAACGGGCAGAACGGGTGAGAGTGTTTACGTGGACATGGTTGTTCAGATGCGATGCAGGGTTGAGGATGAGGTGAGACGACGGAAAAGAGATTTGGGTGGGAGGGGCAATAAGACCGGGGGGCTGTCAGACCTGAGTAGCGCTGCGAGGTCTTTTCGATGCCACTCACCAATGATCGTTTGAGTAAACATTCCCGATGCACCGGTGATGAGAAGCCCACCGTATTTGCGGCTGGCAAGCTCGGGCGTGGGTTGATGATGTTCGAAGCAGACGAGAACGCATGGATGAACCAAGCTTAGTTGAGACTACGTCTGAGCTGATCCCGACTTCGTGGTTCTTGGGACGCTGGTAATGCGGAGGCGATGTAGCCAGCCGCAAAGAAGAAACAGTCGAGCCAAATTGACTCGGAAGAGCCCTGGGAGGAGCAGATAGGGCAGGCTACGGGACCCGGTGAGATGTGACCCGCGTGGTGTGGCTGCACCGCCGAGGGCCGGGGCATCTTGGTATTGGCCGTCGGCGGCGGGGGAAGACCATTTACGAAGGCGGACGACCGCGGGAGGAGCTGACATGCATTTCGCACTTCTTGTGCCCCCTTCGTCACTTGGGATGAGAAGAGCGTCTCCTGCCGCATTCTCTTTTCTCAAGCTCAGACGGCGATGAGGGTGTTCGCAGCCAGACCAAAACCGGACTTGGGTGAGATGGTCTGATGCTATTCCTCCCGAACCGTCCACATCTCCGATTCAGCCCTACGCCGCCGTCTCTCCAGGCCGGAGATGTCTTGCCCAGCCTTCAAGCACTGCCACTCCGATGCAAAGAGACGGGTTTAACAGCTACTTCAGCCTCATATGCCCACTTGATCTCGCTCTCTTACCAATCACGAATATCGTGCTGGGTGGCCACTGCAAAGTGAGTAAATGACGTTGTTGGCATAAGAACGAGAAATCTTATGTATTCTGCGAGAATATCTACCGACGCGAAGTCGAGATCTGATCGCTCAGATCATGTAACAATGTTTGTAGGTATGTTTGTTCCTTCCAATAATGACAACAGTCCCAATGATTATGCACAAAGAAAGCAAGGAAAGATGAAAACACGAGGGCGAATTCCAATCGAACCCTTCGTCAGTGCGTATCCGTTACAAACCCAACTCCGTCCAGGCTGGGAAGCCGCCCAAGCCAAATGCATGATTTCCTGTCTTGATCTTCGTCTTCGTCTTCGTCTTCATCTTCAATCGTTCTTGTCGTTGTCGTCTGTCATCCTTCATCTTTCATGGTCGCGTTTTAGAACACGAGGGCGGAGACCCTTTCGTCCCTGTCCCTGTGCTCTCTCTCCTTCTTCTTGAACAATGACTTGAGCATGTTGTTCTTCTTGGGTCGAGTCGCAATGTCGATCACCTCAGCATCCTTCTCGCTCTTGCCCTCCTCAATCGTCAGCATCGACACCCGACCCGTCCTCTTGGAGGCCGAGCTGCGGTGGCTTCGGTGGCTGCTGGCGATGCTCTCCGTGTCGGCGCCTCGCTCAGATCTCGCGACACTGCTCTTGCGCTCCGGGACGTCCGGTTCACGCACGCTAGCGCTGCTGCGGTGTGACTTGGAAGAGTGGTGCGTCCTCTCGGTCCTGGAGCTGCGGTGCGTCTTGGAGCTGCGCGTCGTGCGGAAGCTGCGCTCCGTGCGGGTATCCGGGTCGCCGCGGATGGAGCGGGCGGCCTCGGGGCTGATGAGCTCCATGTCAACGCTCTCATCCTCGCCCATGGGCGCGATGCCGCGGCGCCAAGTCTCGATGGAGCTGAGTTCCTCTTCCAAGCGGTCATCCAGGACCACGGCCTCGTCGTACGTAACGCTACCCTCGCGAGGTTGCTGTCCATACGGATCGAACTGATCGTACGGGTCGTACGTGTACTCGACGGGCGGCTGCACGGCAGGCGCCGGCTGTGCCTCCATGGCGATGGCGTTGTTCATGGCGGCCGCTTGTTGGGCCTTGGCATCCTTGATCTGCTTCACGATCTTCCATCCTCCAAACATGACCACAGTCATGCCAACGGCGGCGCCGGCCGCGATGAGGAACTGGGGCGAGGCGAGGAGTGCGAATACGGCCGGAGACCCTCCCTTGATGGCGGTCAGAAAGGCTGGGGACATGCTCTTCAGCAGAGTCGAAAGTTCGGCAAGCGTCAGGGCCACGGCGGCAGCGGCTTCGGGGTTTCCTTGAAGGTGGGCGATGGTGGCCGCGGCGGTGTGCTGCACGCAATGTGCTTCGTCGAGGAGCCCCTCGACCCGGGCTATCAGATCCTTCGCCTTGTCCTCCTTGGGGTCCAGATCGGTTCGGTCCTGCAGATCCGGAGGGATGTTGCCGTACGCGAGGTCCATATCGATTTCCTTCTTCTTCTTTCCGATAGTGGGTACGGCCGGCGCCGACATTGTGCGGGGAACATTGGCGCCGCGAATGGTCGCAGAATCGGCGAGACTGTCACTGCATGCCGGAGCGACTGTGTAGTGTTGCATGGCCGGGCGGCTCATCTGCATATCACGGGGTGCGGTCTCTGCATAGGGAGAGCGGTATGCAGCCGAGGGTGCTCTCGAGGGAGTGACGCTGGACACTTCAGAGTGAGCCTTGAGGTTGTTTTCGGTCAAGGCCGGTCTTGACGGAGGATAATAGTCCTGCTCGGGATAGTGAGACCGCCGGGAGCGGTGACTCCTGCGGGAGCTGGCGACAGAGTGGCCATCGTCGTAGGAATAACGGCGCTCAAAAGCCTCGGGAGGGAGATCGCGGGATGTGTCGAAGGTTTGGGCGCGCCTGAGCTCGCGGTCGGCCTTGATAGAGGCCTTCTTCTCCTGGTAGGAGGCTTTGGCTTCTTTAAAGATGCCAGCGAGTTGTTTGCCCTGCAGCAGAAGAAAAAGATGATACGTCAGCTTTGGGCCTCAACGGTCATCTTGGAGTTGTAGTGCGCGTGCATCTTGCAGGTCGAATGTTGCAAAACACGCGGCCTGGCGAGGGCTGGACTTGGAATTTCAGAGGGGCGGTGGGGGGAAATGCAACGGGTGTGAGCCAGCGAGAGAGACGTACGGTACTTATAATCTTTCCCGAGTTGTTGATGATGGTGACCGTCTGAGTGAGGGCCATGGTGTTTGAGTGTCAGTCACTCGTCTGGTGTCAGACTTGAGAGAAGATGTGTGTGTGTGATATGTCGAAGGGAGCAAAAGGTGTGAGTGCACTCACACAGGCGGTGACCTGGTGTGTGTGTGTGTGTGTGAATGCGCGCGCGGTTTTGGAGCTTATGTGGTGGTGCTACTAGTCGATTTTTGAAGCTTCCGGTCCTTCAAGTGACGACAGGGAACCCAGGGCGGGAGGTTGGTCCAACACGTCTAAGAGGGAGCCTGTCCACCGCCAAAAGTCTCTTCACGCGCTGTCTGGGGAGCCACTTGAGGGGATCCTCGGGGCAGTTGTTAGTTCTGGGCGCGCCGTGCAAAGGCAGGGTTCGTCGCTGTCGACGATGCGGTGAAGGAAAGGAGGACCCTAAAACAACTCCACCGTCAAAGTTCAAACGGAAGCGAGTACCGACTTGGGTGACAGGGGGCCACGGAACGGAAGAGCCCAGGAAGGGGACGGGCGTCGCAAATCGCTCCACCGCTCTTAACGCAGTTGAGCAGGAGATCTCTGTCTTAGTGTGACGGCAGGATCCCGAGACGTTGGCTGTTGGCTCAGAGCCCGTTTAAAGGTGGATGATGAGTGACAAACAGGCTGGGAACGTTGTCAAAGTGGACGACGGCGGCGGAAGCCAGCCGGGTGGTGGACGTTGCTTGCTTGGGACGGTGAGCCCGTTCCCGGGATGGATGTCAAGAGGCTGGCGATGGAGATGACGATGGGGACGGAGATGTCGTTTGTGACACGCACAACAAGACAGATGATCAAAAAATACGGAGATGGCGGAAGAACGGTGTGAGAATATGAGTATGGGTATGGATATGTGAGGGATGAGAGAGTTGAGGCTATCGCGCGTGGACGCGATGCAGGCCCCGGCGCACGTCTCGATGTGTTGGTTGAGATGGGAGCAAAAGAGC